CGGAAATTTAAACGTTAATAACTTTTTAACAAAGCCTCTATCAACAAATTGGTATTCTTGATTTTCGTCTTATTTTGACCTCTAGAATCTCCCATTAAAATTTTTCCCAGGGGTGGCCGAATACCCTGTATTTCGTTCATCAAGTAGTATAAATTCCATTTTAAATATATTCATTTGTTAATAACAATGTGTTATTAATTTTAAAATGTCATTAACACTTGCAATGAACTTAATTCAAGATATTTTTTACGAGAGATTCACATAAATAGCCTTTCTTGATCCTGGGAATTTCCCCTTAAATATCTACGTGAAAATACATATAATACTATATTATTAATATCTTTTCAATAGGCAAAAATATGCAAACGGGATTTGTTTCTTAATTTTAAGGATACTTTAAAGAAAAGATTTATCCTAGTTTCGTTCAGGCATAATGAGGCAAACTTATTAAATTTCGCATCGGAAGTTTACTTTCTTATTCAAAATCGAGCTAATACGCTGGGGCAATTTTTAAACTTGAAAATAATTGTTAAACATATTTCAAAACAATATTAAACATTTTTTTATCGATGCAATATATAAAAAGCTATACAAGCAAATTTTTTCATAATTTTTCACGTAGCTCTAGCTGTATACGATGAGTTTGAACAAATATAAAAATATTACGAAACTAAACGGATGAGCGTTAACGACAATACTTAAATATACATATCAACTTATATTTAATAACTTTCAACTGATTTTACTTGATTTTCATAAACTTTAAAGTATTGTTAAAGACGTGAAATAATTAATTTCGGTCATCTAAACAAAAGTTAAAATTCGATTTTTGTCCTCATGTCGCCCACTGTGCGCCGGATGCACACTTTAACATGCTAGATACGCGTACGTGAGCTCGTGGAGTTTCGGAAAGACGACAAAGGCAAACTGACGCATGTCCTCTTTCTCGATTCTCCGAAGCTGCCCGAAGTAATTTCGGATCGCCTCGTGGGAGTCGAGCGAGAAAGGCTCACATTTGCCTTCTCGCTCTTAACAACTGAAATCCGACCTCCCGTCAACGGCATACGATTTGGATTCTCGAGCCGAGATTCTCGACTGCCCAGGCATTTTTACTTTCCGACCTATGTATGTAGGCGCACATAAGCAAAGTACCCATAATGAAAACAAAATTTTGTAAAATTTATTTTACGGAAATACACGTTTTAAGACCCCCTGATCATATTTTAATTATTGAAAAAAAAGAAATTTTTTTTATTAGTCCCATGTATGAGCGCACATATGTATATTATTAATACGATTTTTGAAAATCAAAATACTTTCAGATTGAAAATTAATAAATTAAAATGAGATTCCCCTTTTTACCAGTATTGTGCACGCTGTGGCATTTTTCAATAAGAAGAGTTCTTACTTTTATAACATAAACAAAACTGTAGAATTATTAATAGTAGAAATTAATTAATAATGATTTTCCTCGATTGTTTTGAGATAACCAAGTATCAATTTGTTATGACGAACTAAATAGAATTAACTAGAAACAAAGGAAAGGTGATCCCGTTTGCCAGTTTAATACAAAGTATGGGTTGGATCTTAAATTTTAAAAGGACATAGTCGAATATTTTTAAAGGTACAAAACATAGCGTTTCATTTTAGAACAGTAACATGAGTTAGCAGGTAATGTCATAAAACTGTTTTTCCCAGTTATATCCCTTTTTACCTGAAGTATAAGGTAAAAAGTACGAGCTACAAGGTACGACTATCCGAAAATCGTTCACATTTTATCAATGTAAATGAAGCGGCCTTTCCATCAGAGTTAAATACAAAATTTTGTAATTTCTGTGAAAACAGAACTTTTATTAGATGTAGGTGGTGCTTGAAATTGTTGTTTTCACTGTTTTTACGAAAAGTACCATCCAGATTCATGTACTTTGTACATTGAAAATAACATATTGTTAGAATATGGAGGGCTCAAATATTTATTTGAGAACCTCGTCTAACGGGTGTCCGGATTACGAAGGAGTAGGACGTAGGAAAAGTAAATCGTTTGTTTTAATTGTATTTTCGCGTCGTCGATCTTCGACGACGCCGTTTATTTGAAAAAAAGAATAAAACAAAACAAACGAAACGTAAAAAACTTGTAATAATCAAAAAAAAATAAAACAGAACAAAATTTACAGAAAGAAAAAGAACCAGAATTTTTGGCCGTTTGCCGCTTTTCAACAATTGAAAAATAAATTAAAATCAATCGACTCGTCGCCTGGCGCGGTAATCCGCCTCTCTTTCGACGAGTCGTCGGCTGGCGTCACTCTTCTCTGTAACAAAAAGGACGGAACTTGGTGTAAATACACGGTAACGTTAGTCACGTTTTCCGTCTCGTTCTGAAGTTCTCGCGCTCCTAGCTGTGCTTGTCGCACTCAGGAGCGGGGATTCTCTGCCGCTGCGTTACGCGGCGAAACAGGTGGACTGTATTTATTTATGTTCCCTTTAAATCAGGAAACGTTTGATTGCAGTTCTAAGGAAGACGAGATTATACCTCGATTCTTCCTATACTGCGTGATCTCGACCGTCGTAGGAAAGGGCAACAGATGGAGGTTGTAAGGCTCCAAATGTTGTCGAATCCTCGGTTTCTTACCGTCCTCGTAATCCGTCCGTGTACGGTGTGGGACTGTACCTTGTCTGCGTTCGCAACGACTTACGATTAGCGTACGTTTCCCACTGTTGCTCTTGAGCGGTATTCCACGCACACGTTGGCGTATTTTCGAAATACCGCTTCAGCAGGTCGCCTGATGCTGGACACGTAATTAAAATTCCTAGCACCGACTGGAGGGCGGCAAGCCCACCCACGGAATACACCACGAAGGCCCGTCTAGGTGGGGTTTTAACCGTTCGACAGTCAAGGGAGGTTCGAAGGTCAAACTCGAAACTTCGGATACGACCGATCGGTCCAACGATACGTATCTTTTTCCTCAGTCTTAGGTGGTTTTTACCACTGCTGAACTAGAAACTTTCGGAAATAACCCACGAGATTCCTCGTTATAAACGGAAGTGTCGTTGGTACCGGATGGTATCCCAATCCGTTTATGTACTGCACTTCTGGCGTTTCCGACTCTTTTTCACTCCAGTTAAAACGTGTAGCGGAAGTATTGGCGTTACCGGATCGGACCCCAATCCGTTCACGCCCTGCACCTTCTCCACCACGTTCTTAACTGGCTCGAAAGAACGACAAGCTCTACACTATTCGTTCTATTTGGTATATACGGAGGAGCGGGATCGTATGCCCATCTGCTCTCGGCCGTTTCCAAATCAAGAGTGATTCGCTGAACAAGGAGACTCAAATTCGGAGAGCGATTTCCGACTGGCGGCGCTGTAGCCGAATTTGAGTTTGTCTTTGTCTATCTTTCGATTGTCTTTCCTTTTCTATCTTACGCGTTTCGAAACGTTAGCTTGAAATTCTGCGTAGTTTGGTCGATCGCGTGATGTTTCGAAGAAATACGTATGTGACCGTTTTTGTATCCGGTCTTGTTTACGCGTAGCGGACATGAGAGCCGAACCTTCTCGAATATGTTAAGCTGCGTCCCCACTGGGTCGGCACGGCTCGGCATTTGCCGATCGGCACTGCAGATCAGCACAGCGTTCGGCAAAAGGCGGCACAAGGCGGCACGGCCGTGCCACTGCTATGCACCGCGGCAAAGCCATTTCTTTCTCATTCAGTCAGTAGTGAAACGCCAAACGCAACGAACCAAAAAATGTACAGTGACGACGAAGTAATAACTGGTGCTGCTGCAGTTATAGTAATAGCAAATGCAAAAAAAATGCCTAAAAAACGAAGATTTTGGATGCGTCCGAGTTTACGTAGCAGAAGAATATATAGTGCCAGTGATATGATTAAAGATTTAATTTTGGACGACGTAAACGCAATCAATCTGGAATACAGGTGTAACGGTGGCTTTAAAAATTTTTTCCGCATGTCCTCTACTGAATTTGAACAATTGCTAAATTTAATCGGGCCAAAAATTGCTGCGAAGGACACAAATTTTAGGGAAGCAATCCCTGCAAAAGTGCGTCTTGGTGTGACATTACGATTTTTGGCAACAGGGGATTCATATCACTCCCTTATGTACTTATTTAAAATTTCAAAACAAACAATTTCAAAAATCATTCCAAAAGTATGTGAAGCTCTCATTGATGTACTTCAAGATTATATAAAAGTAAGTATTGCTGGATCACGTTAGTTATATTATTAAATAATTAATCCTATTTTTTATATTAGATTTATTACTATTATTTACAATACAATACATAATTTATTTTACTAGATTCTATCCTATATTTATGAAATGTCAAAATTATGTTCTATATTTTGTGCAGGTGTATGAGTGGAGGTGTATGCGGGTGTATGAATGGAGGTGTATGTGGGTGTATGAGTGGAGGGGTATGTGGGTGTAAGAATGGAGGTGTATGTGGGTGTATGAGTGGAGGTGTATGTGGGTGTATGAGTGGAGGTGTATGGGGGTGTATGAGTGGAGGTGTATGTGGGTATATGAATGGAGGTGTATGTGGGTGTATGAGTGGAGGTGTATGTGGGTGTATGAGTGGAGGTGTATGTGGGTGTATGAGTGGAGGTGTACGTGGGTGTATGAATGGAGGTGTATGGGGATGTATGAGTGGAGGTGTATGTGGGTGTATGAATGGAAGTGTATGTGGGTGTATGAGTGGAGGTGTATGTGGGTGTATGAATGGAGGTGTATGGGGGTGTATGAGTTGTAGTGTCCGAGTAACCAAGGCGTGGTGAGGTTAATAGTTTATTCAGTACTAGCAGCCCCGGCGGACTTCGTCCCACCCAAAAATACAACGAAACTGTTGCATTTTTTAAATAAAAAATTTTCTTACCAAAAAATCATCTTTATTCTAGTACTTTGTGATACACAATATTTTTGGTTTTTTGTTCCGGTGCCAACACAAACAAAGCAGATGGCTTACCAACATGTGAACAGGCTACATACAGTTGGCCATGTGAAAAACATTCATTTTCCAAATTTAGACCACAAACATCCAATGATTGGCCTTGAGCCTTGTTGATTGTCATGGCGAACGCAAGACGAACCGGGAATTGAATGCGTTTGAATTCGAAAGGCATGTCTGTCGGTATCAAAGGAATACGCGGAATGAGAACTTGTTCTCCTTTAAACTTGCCTTTGAGAATTGTTGCGTAAATGATATTATTCATGATTTGCTTTACAATCAAACGCGTTCCGTTACACAATTTAGGAGGTTGCAAATTTCGAAGCATAATCACTACCGAACCAACTTTAAGGTGTAAAATGTGTTGCGGAACACCAGGCAAATCCAAAGAATTCAAAAATTCAGTGGGGTAATTCGTAGCTTCATCTTCATTTACCACACAATCAACAGATTTGAATGAATGCATTGGACCACCAATTTGATTTTGAATTTTAAAATTAATCTCATTCACATCCTTGTTCTTCGCTGCCAAAATTGCGCGTTCACTTAACCAATCGTGATTCAAATAATTAACAACAATATCCGGAAACACTTTACGAATTAGTTCATCTTTCGATGTAACGAAATTACAAAAATTCGACGGAAATGAAATCAAACCGGTTGTGACATCGACGGGAACTTCACCATTACCGATGGCTATCAGTTGTTTGGAGAACACATCAGCTGTAGGATCGTTTTGTAATGAAACTCGCATATTCGTATTCAATTTAAGTTTCTTCACAAAGCGCCACAAAGACGATGACTTCAAGGAAGCGTTAACTGCATCAGCAGCAGTTGATTTTGGAATGACAGGTAACGTTTGACGGAAATCACCAGACAATAGAATCATAGCGCCTCCAAAACGTCTTGAATTATTGCGTAAATCCTTCATGGTCCGATTAACTGCTTCCAATGCACGTTTATGCACCATTGTGCATTCATCCCAAATGATGATTTTACAACATTGCAACACTTTTCCCATAGCGGAATTTCTACTAATGTTGCATGTGGGTTCTTCAACCACTTGGAGATTCAACGGCAATTTCAGCGCTGAATGTGCTGTCCGGCCTCCTTCCAACAACGTAGCAGCTATTCCTGAAGAAGCGACTGCCAAAGCAATTTGAGATCTCGAACGAATAGTAGCCAAAAGCAAAGAAATAAGAAATGTTTTCCCAGTACCACCGGGAGCATCGATAAAAAATATTCCCCCATTTCCGTTATCAATCGCCTTCATCAATGTTTCATACACGATTTTCTGCTCAGGATTTAACAATGGAACATTATCACAAACCATTCGGCTCAATGCGTCTCGATCATATTCACGTTCTCGTTCTATTTCTTGATTAAAAGCATCGTGGATTGAACGATTAGGCGCTGGTATTCCTAAAGTACACAACAAATTGCCGCTAATAAGCAAACATATATCCTCAATCGCAATCAACGATTCATTATGAATCTCATCAGTCATTCCCAAATTGAAATCTCCGGTTGCAGCACGAACTCGATGCAAAAAATCCTCTGACATGTTGTCCTTGTATTTATCCCACAAATCTTTCGGATTTGATGGATTACACGTCGAAATTATGATTGCAAACAATGAACGTATTTGATTTGCAGGTGCGCACATAATTGCATCAGCAAGAGTCATATCCCAATGTGTATCATTCTCCAACAATTGCAAACGTTGACAGGCATCACGATATGTAGGACAGAGTACTCCATCGACGGTTCGAAGTGACTCGAATGAAGTTGGCCCACGAACATTTACCAACAGTAATCGCAAATAGAAACATTCTGCATTTCTAGATGGATGCACTGTGTAAATACGACCGATGGCATCTGTTGAGAATACATCTGGATTATCCGGAACTCGCTCGCCTTGCTTTCGCCGTTGAAACTTTTTCGATGAAGCATTCCAAGTGTAATAACGCGGCATCTGAGAGTAGAGCAATGTTCGTGCGAATGGATCACTCTCACATGTTGAAAAGAAACTGGTCAATGTTGTAGCTGGTGGTCTTTCAGCACGTTGAATGGCAGTGTGTTCAGTGAAATAAACACGTTGACCATTCTCCAGATGCACCGCCAAATGAACTACAGTTGGATGACGGTCGTGAATTGGAAATGAAAAAATTCGCCAAAGAGCCTCATTGCAACTAACATATCTTCCAATTTGATACCGCGTTACTTCATCATCGGCATTTGGATCCGGAACACCAAACGCAGCCATATCACTACCTTTTGTAATATACTTGCAAACGTATTTGATTGCTTTAATCGAATTACAGTCCTCCACATTGATATGCGCATCAAATGTTTTGCAAAGTAGTGGTGAATATGGAACAATCCAACTGTTATCAACCACAACATCATTTTGTTTCACTTTCAATGTAACTGTTCTGCCATTATCATCAGGTGAACGACGTCGATAAAGTGGATATCCGTCGTCGCCGGTAATAGTTTCCGCAGTGAGAGGACGTGGGTAGCGTTTAGAACACTTGCCGTTAGCCATGCACGGTGAATCCATGTTATTGTTGCCACACGGTCCGTGAATCATATTCTTGATGACTATATCATACAATTCTTGATCAATTTCTGGATCCGGTATCTCTGCGCAAATGACAGCATCGATTTCGTCTGGTCGAATCTTTTCAACGAACCAAAGTAGAATATGCGCGTGCGGCAGACCTCTCTTCTGCCATTCAACAGAATACATCCAGCATCGAACATCACCAAATACACGTTGTTTAGTAATGAAACCCATTAAAACCTTCAGCTTCTGTCTGAACACACGTGCAGTGATATCATGTCGATCACTCGATGTTTGGCCGGGAATTAAATTGCACTGAATATCAATCCATCTTGAGTTACAAGTGAAGGTGACAAATAAATCAGGACGACCGTACTGTCGAACAAACGCCATCGCATCTTGAGCATACTCGTGCATGTGGCGTGGACTGCCAACATACGTTGCCGGTAAGATTGTTAGTCGACCGAGATTCCTCGCATCACCTTCAGTTCTTATTGCATCCCGCAAATGAATGTACTCTTCTGAACGCAATTTCGCTTGATTTAAACGAATGTAACTGAGCCGTTCAGTCTCGATTTTGACATACATATCCACGCAGAATTGTTGAAGCAATCGCCGAAATCGCAACAGATAGTTATCCTCATTTTGACGAATCATTAAACGGTATGCATAGTAGTTCATCGAACTTACTTTCTTCGTTGTTTCTTCACCTAATAACAAATGAATCCGAAGTAACAAATAAATGCAAAGTTTGAAAATAAAATTAAGATTCCATTTAATTGATTGATTTGGTGACATGATTGAAGGAAGAAGTCTACTAACCAGTAACTGGATTTAACATTTTGATGTTAAAGTGGTAGCCGTCATCACCTGTCCAAAACATGAGCGGATACTGAAGTGCATCATACGACCGATGTGTCTCACTAATACGTTGTAATTGTCCATTGTTTCGGCGCGTCAGTACAATATCCCGTGATACCACTTGCTCACCGACTACAATAATGGCAACCTCATCAATTGTCGGTGCATTGTATTGACGTTCGTGCGCTAAGTTAGGCCTTTTATCCGCTTTAATCACGATTTGATGATCATCTGTTAGCATTCTGTCTAACGCATTCTTAAATAATCCAATCAATTCATTATGGTCATGAAGCATTCGTTGCAATTCTCTGATGATGTCTTCTTTCGTTCTATTGTACAATGCACTACGACGGTTTATTTGATCGCTCTCGTTCCCAATGAAATAGATTTGCAAGAAATTATATTCGCCATTAGGAAGCGGCAATAACGACCCAGCACGATGATGCACCTGCCCTTGAATCTGGTTACCAAGAGACGAATTCAAAATTAATAAAATGCGATCATTCAAAGGAAACGGAAGAGTACTCTTTCGAGCAGGAATTACCTTGAACGACGGATTATATCCGCTTTCATTGATAATTGATGCAGCGAAAGAAGTCATTTGAAAGCACCCATTATAGTTTTGAACATTTGCAAGAAATTGCTTTGATTCTGCTGTTACGCCTTCTAGATACGATCGCAATGGTTCCTGTGGCGATGGCAATGTTGGCAATTTAACTTTTCCACTAAGGCAACACAATCCAGGTGTTTCTCCTGGAAATTTCAATGCGTTGCAATGTGGACATACTACAACCATTGATCCAATTTGAACGACAGGAAGAGATCGATAATTGAATGCACAATCATATCGGAATGCTACTCGAAGCAAATTGGCATTGCCAGCACTTCTTCTTTGCTGTCTATTTTCAGTATTTATTCGTCGACTTTGCACCAAAAAATTTTCACATTGATTTACTCGACGACTTTGTTGTGCCAATCTACGCGAATCGATTACAGCCTGCTGTTGTTCTTCTGTTTGTTGCGCACGAATTTGGACGTGGTTTGCATTTCTTCGTTGTTGCGCAATGTTTCTATCTTCTTGACTCATATTCGCACGATGAGTCGACACTGCTCGTGCACCAGCTGAACGTCGGCCTAAATGAGATCTTCTCGTTGGTGGCATTATGAAGAACAACTGCAATACAATGAAATCACGAATAGAAAATTTGAAAACAATGAAACAACAATAGAAACGTACCACTTCTTACAGACAAATCCCAATAGTCAACCAACAATGCAACACATACACAAAAAAAACATTTGCTGATATCACCAATGTTGTATCCGATTTCAATGAATGTTTTGTATGATTTTCAGTCATAGAAATAGACTGAAAAAAACCAGACTGATTTAGCAAATCATGATTTGTTGATTTTCAACCTACAGTGTTGAAGAAAACATTTGAAAAATTGAGGAATTAATTCCTAAAATTTTCCTCAAATAGAGAAAATACCTTTCCATCAAAGTACAAATCATCAAAATCGGTTCGGCCACTCTCGAGTTATGGGATTACATCGCTTCGGACACTTTCTTTTATATATATAAGATTAGGTATATCAAAGAATTATTTAGAGCTTTTAGCAAATTAGGCATTCATTTCTATTCTTCTATATATTCTCGTTATCAATTTTAATTCACAAAAACTCACCAAATCGCAATGAAAAAATCCGAATCTGTAATGCGCAATGGCCGGCAAACGTTATTCGATCGAACAAAACACGAATTCGCAAAGTGCAATATGGACGGTGAAACAGCAACGAATGAAGAAACTGCGCAACTGAATCAAATGCCACAGTAGAGGTATAAATAAGAGTGGAACTCCATAGCATGCGTATGCGTATGCGTGCGTTTGACAGATAAGTAGAATACACACGTAAAAAAACCTGTCGTAACACTCTTGGTTGTCAAAATAAGACATTTTGAAATTATGATTTTTTGACCTTTTTTCCGATTTTTTTTTCTTTTTTTTTTTTTTAAACCCGTACTGAGAAAATACCTTTCCATCAAAGTACAAATCATCAAAATCGGTTCGGCCACTCTCGAGTTATGGGATTACATCGCTTCGGACACTTTCTTTTATATATATAGATATACAGATATTTAGGAACATTACAACTGGTTCGCCTCGTGGCGATACTCTCGTGCCGATCTTCTTTTCGCACTCTCCCTCTCCTACTCGCCGCCGCGTGGCGCCGCGACTACCCAGGATCGTAACTAGCCGATCCACCACACCAGGACCGTGACTAGTCGATCCACCACAGTTCGGCCATCCTGACGGATGATTGCCCTCAATCATAACAATTGTGCATAACATATCATACATAACAACAAATAAATGAATAATTTGAACATAAGGTAACATAAGTAATCATAAGGAATGAATAATTGAACATAAGTTAACATAAGTAATCATAAGGAATGAATAATTGAACATAAGTTAACATAAGTAATCATAAGGAATGAATAATTGAACATAAGGTAACATAAGTAATCATAAGGAATGAATAATTGAACATAAGGTAACATAAGTAATCATAAGGAAATTAGAAAATAGTATTCTTAACCTAACAGTAATAACATTTTAAAATAACGATATCTTTTAAAGTAAATAATATGAATTAATTACATTCTCCCCGAACCCAATGTTTCATATTCTCCGGTGCACAAATTCCTTCGAAAGGTATTTGCGTTAATTGTTCACCTTCCGGATCACAAACAACATATCTGTCGTTCTGTAACACTCGCTTCACCGTATAAGGTCCTCGAAATTTAGGCAAAAGCTTCTTATTTACGCCGGGCGTAACGTCTAGATTTTTAATTACTACATAATCACCTAACTTATACTTAGTAGGAACTTTATGTTTTTTATCATAATATTGTTTATTATATGCACTACTCGTTCCAGTTTGCCTAACAGCCTTTGCTCTAATTTCGTTTAAATCTCTGTTACGAGCGGGAGCGCGAGATCCTGGATTCGGTCGAGGGGCAGTACTCGACCGGTGGTTTTGGGTATGGTTAGGAAAAGAAAGGAGGTCCGGACGAACCAGGGGCTCTATACCCTGGGAGCCGTAGGTGGAGGTTACGTGGACGAACCAGGGGCTCTATACCCTGGGAGCCACGGGGTTAGATTTATAGGGAAAATGAATGGTTTCACGGACGAACCAGGGGCTCTATACCCTGGGAGCCGCTAGTAGGAGTGGACGAACCAGGGGCTTTATACCCTGGGAGCCACGTAGGTTTTTAGGATGTTTTAGGATCTTGCTCTCTGTCGTGATGGTACACCTCGAGCGGTAAAGGTGTACCGGGTTCGTGAGATACCCCTAGCCTTACGGTTAATATGGTTCAGGGTTGCCTTTGAGTGAATAACACACGTAAGGAACAATAACTTGAATATATATTTTTGACGATGCTCAAGTACAGCTATGGGTTTACAAGAAGTTGTACAATTGCTAAATTGCCTCGAAGGCGAAAGATTTCGTTATCGGCTTTTAACGCGGCGCGTTCGCGGGAGCTCTACTCGATTAATGGACACTCACTGATAAACCGCTAAGGTAGATAGTCGTAGATAGTTGCTTGAAGGGGATTATAGCCCGATCTTGCCCTGAGTGTCACAGTAACGTCGTGCCAAGAGTTTAGGTAAAACTGAGCTCCCCGAGTAAGAAACCGCGGCCCTTATATAGTTGAAAATGCCCAGTACTAAGGCGGGGCATTACCATAAAAGGCAATGAAAATTGGGCCGGGTGTGCGCATACGGCATGAGTCAACCCCGTTCAAAGGGTTGCTCGCTAGATGCTCGAGCCAACGCCCAAGTCACCAAACGTTTCAGCCCCATGCATGAATGATATGTAACAACACTCCCCCCCCTTAAATGAAACGTCATTTAATAATGGCGCTTTCATAATTGGGACTAAAACGTTTGGTACATCATACTACATACGTGCACACGAGTACATCCGTCCACACTGTTCACTGACTCATATGGCCCATGCACCGCGACACTAGCACTGAACTGTTCCGGTTTCTGTTGATGTTGAAGGTGGAAAGGACAGGTAGTCCTCCGGCTGCTGTTGGGTGGTGTGTGGTGGGCTGGTGGTCCTTTAGTCTGATTCACTACTATCTTCTGACAGGTGGGCATGCTTAAGTTTATCCTCATGCTTCACTATTGTTTTGCGGTCGTTGATTTCCAAAACGGCATTGTGCGTTTTCGTTTTATCTATTATTTTGAACGGTCCGATGTAGTGCGGGTCGAATTTGCTGGTACGTGGTTCGTTCAAGACATAAACATATTGTCCAATTTGAATTCCACTGGTTTTGAGCGTTTGTCGTAATAGCGTTTTGAGCGCTCCTTTGCCCTATTCAAATTATTTGCAGCTATGTTACGAATTTCGGTCAATTTGGTGGTTAATTCTGAAATGTATGATCCATAGGTCTGTAGCTTCTCTCCGGTAGGGAATGATGTTGGTATCCGTGCAGGTTTTCCAAATATTAACTCGAATGGTGTAAAATCAGTAGCTTCATGTACCGAAGTATTATATGAAAACATGGCGAATGGAATTAACAAGTCCCAATCTTCGTATGAATTCATATAATGTTTCAGGTATTCGGTGAGAACGTGATGACTCCTTTCCAAAGATCCATTAGTTTGTGGTCGATAGCCTGATGTAGTGAGTTGTTTAATTTTGAAAATTTCTGCCATGTGTGTCATAATTTCCCCTAAGAAGCTGGTTCCTCGGTCAGTCAGTATGGCACGCGGAGTTCCGTAAATGGCGATGAAATGCCGGGCAAAGGCATCTGCTATGGTTGTTGCTCGAATATTTGGTATTGCGACGGCCAAACAATATTTCGTTAAATTGTCCTGCATTGTTAAGATGTATCGGTTTCCGCTGGGTGTTTCAGGTAATGGTCCTACAGTGTCCAAAGCAATTTTATCAAAGGGTTCTGTTGGTGTATCGGTGATAAGCATCGGCTGTCGAGTTTTCATTCGAACCAGCTTCTGCTCCTGACAGCTTTTGCATTTCCTAATATATTCCTGTATATCATTCCTTAATCCTGGCCAGGTGTACTTTGGAAATAATCGTCTGTATGTTTTGGCAATTCCCTTGTGTCCTCCGATAAGGCTGTCGTGAGCTTCCGAAATTAGGGGTATGCGGTCTTCTACGGGTGGAGTGATGAGCAAGGGGTCCGTTGAAGTGTTTGTTGACGGTTGTGCGGCACCGATAGGCTCGGAAGTAGACGGTACGATGTCCCACAGGTTCAGACTTGAGTCTGTTCTTTCCGAACTAAACAATCCTTGATTTGCTACATGTGGTGATGGCGAGGCGGGTAAATGAGTTGCAGCTGTTTCTATTACTGTGTTTTGATTTTTATCTTCTGGTTGGTGACTCGTTTGAATGATCGTTGTGTCGGTGTCGTCTTCGAAAGAGATCAAATTTCCTGCTATTGGACTTGCTTCATTATTAATGGAATATGATAAAATGGACTTATTCTGTTCCGGTGAATTGAATGGAGTAGATTGTGCAATTGGAGTGTCGAAAACTTCTAATGGTTCATCTGCCGGGTCCTTTTCGCGGGTGAGGGTAGGTAGTAACGAGATCGGCGAATTCCCAGTTATATTTTTCCTGATGCTTTTTGGTGGTCCTCTCTTCTTTATTATGGATTCTTGATACGGGGCTTCGTCAGAGCTAGTGTTCGAATCAACGTATAGCGGATGTGCTTGTTTTCTGCGTAAGGACTTCACGCGCTGTCCTATACCTGTTCCACCTGGTATTTTCAAGAGTCCTGTTGGCCTGTATGTTTTATCTTCTTTTGAAGCGAGTGGCAAACAGATGTGTGCTGGGTTGCGTGATAGCGCATCTGCGTTCTTATTTGTTTTCCCAGATTTGTGTACAACATCGTACTCATACTCCAGAAGTTTTAGTTTCCATTTGGCCAAACGAGATGTAGGGTCCTTCACGGAATGTAACCAAACAAGCGGTCTGTGATCTGTCACCAGAGTAAACTTTCGTCCAAAAACGTATGGTCGGAAATATTGCGCTGCATAAACCATAGCCAAACATTCCTTTTCGGTCGCTGAGTAATTCCTTTCGGCCTTGCCCAAGCTCCGAGATGCGTAAGCGATCGGAAGGTCTTGTCCTATCTGCCCTTGGCTGAGAACCGCGCCAACTGCGAAGTCCGATGCGTCCGTGGTGATGATGAATGGTTGATTAAAATCCGGATATTGCAAGATCGGTTGTTCACAGAGTTCGTCCCGTAGTTGTTCAAAACTCTTTTGTTGTTCCGATGTCCAGTTGAAACGCACTCCTTTTCCAAGTAATTGTACTAAGGGTTGAGCTTTTCCCGAATAATTTTGAATGAACCGACGGTAATATCCCGTCAATCCCAAAAACTGTTGTATATTCTTCTGTGTCTTGGGTATTGGAAATTCCTTTACTGCTTGCAGATTCCTCGGGTCGGGTTTTACACCCTTGGCTGTAACGATGTGTCCTAAGTAAGTTACCTCTCTTCTTAAAAATTGGCACTTACTCGTCTGCAGGGTGAGACCGTGTTCTCTGAGTCGATTGAATAATTTTTTTATCTTGATTTCATGTTCACGTAACGAGGATGAATATACCACGATATCATCCAGATAGACGAATAATTCTGTTCCATGCAGTCCAGTCAAAACTTGATCCATGAGCCTTTGGAATGTTGGTGGGGCGTTTTTTAATCCAAAAGGCATTCGACCGAATTCGTAATGCCCCCGTGGAGTGGTGAAAGCTGTTTTTTGTCTGTCCAATTTGTTCATCTCGATCTGGTGGAATCCATTCGCAAGGTCGAAAATTGAGAAATATTTTGCTCCTCCCAGTTTATCCAGAATTTCAGTTATTTGTGGTAGCGGGTATTTGTCACTAACAGTCTTCTCGTTCAGCGACCTGAAGTCGATGACCATGCGCCAACGTTTCTTACCGTCAGCATCAGATTTCTTTGGTACAATCCATAATGGTGAGTTGTAAGGTGAAGTAGACGGTTGGATAATTCCTTGTGATAGAAGGGCTGTTACTTGACGTTGAATTTCCTCTTGATGAATTGGCGGGTAACGGTATTGTCTGGTGTTGATGGGTATTTCGTCTATGGTGTGAATGGAATGGTGAAAATTGGGTACCTTATCCAGTCTGTCTCCTGGCAGGTAGAATCTATCCGAAAATTCCTGTATGAGGTTATGCACATGTTCCTGTTCCTCCCTATTGAGATGGTTTGTTTTTAGATTTTCCCAAATTTTCTTTTCCCGGTTTAAAATCTTTCTTGGTGGAGTTTCGTACGACATTACAGGATCTTCATCAGATGAACTCCAAATTTCGTACGGTTGAAGGTATTGTGGTTCCAGTTCAAGTTCGATGTCTTCCTCGCTGGTGTTGGTTGCCATCGCGTAACATATGTCGTCATGGGTGTAAACTGCGGCTTCTCCAACGAAAACTTCTTTCGGTGTCTTTACTCGAGGTAAATAGCCTTCCTTGATGCCTCGATTGGCTACCTTTATTGTGATTTGTTGCCTCGTTCTAGCAGGTAGACGGTATTTAGTGCTGAACTCGTCTTCGTTAGAAAAAGGTATCGGTTTGACTGGTTGATTTCGTGTTACCAAGGTTTTGTGATAGTACGAAATTTCGGCTCCTTCTTGGGCCAAAAATGGACTTCCTATAAGCCCAATTGCGGAAGATAATGGGAAAATTGTTTAACACATGAAAATGTGCTGGGGCAGAATTAATGTGTAGGGTTACTGTGCCTATCGTGTATATGGCGGCCGGCGCTAGACCAGTGATTTCCACGCGTTCCCTGGACGTAAATGATTTTGGGTATTTCAATGCGTCTACGTGGATAAGATTGACAGAGGAGCCTCCGTCAATCAAGAATTCCCCTGATCCGTTCTTCAGTTCCGGTACCTTTGCCCTGATTCGCGCTGCAGGAGCTTCCTTGTAGAGTTGCTCGGAGTCTCGTCGCTGAATCGGACTACTCTTTGGCGATTTTGATCTGTCCCGTTCGTCACATCGCCGTCGTGACGAACGCGATTGGAGTTTAAAGAATCCGTTGACGAATTGCGGGAACGGTTGTCCATAAGTCGGCGGGTTGTCCTTTCTTCCCTCTTGCAGGCTTCGCCGTCGTGACCCTTTTTTCCGCAATTCCAACAAAACAGGTGGTGGTTTCGGTTTTCCTTGCGTCTAGCCACCCTTCCTGTGGTGCAGGTGTCCTCTTGAGATGCGTCAGAGTTGTAAGAGGGGCTCCTGCGTAGTGTAAACGCAGATGTCCTCCTTGGCCGGTCCTCGTGGTCGTCCTCGGATCCAGATGCGCTCCGTTCCCTGCGTCGGTGATAAGAGGGTGACGGTGACCGAGGGTAGGTGGCCCGGGATCTGGGTGTATTTTCCCAGTGATGACTTTCGTCTGGTACGAAGCTATGTTTATTTTTCAACCGTCTGTCTACTTCCAAGACGGCGTCATAGGCATCGTCCAGTGTATCTATTTTTTTATTTAGAGCATGGACACGCAGGAAGATTCGTTCCGGTAATCCCTCGATGAATCCTTCCAGAACGTCCCTTTCCATGTCGCGGATGTGATGCTCGTTATTTTCTTCGTAGCGATCACGAATCGCTATGCGCGTATTGTGAACTAAGTCACAGACGCGATTCACGTAATTTCTTAGAGATTCGTCTGAGCGTATCTTCAGACGGCTTATTTCTCCTTGGAAATATTTTAAGTTCCGACCCGGTGCAAATCTCTTTTTCAGGAATTTAAGCAATTCCCTAATATTTTGGAATGCGTATCCTTGAGTGCAGGTTCTAGCCGGACCGATTAACTTCGTGAGCACTAACGCGAGATACTCTTTTTCCGTATTCGGCGGAATAAACGCGAGACCGTCCCCGACTTTTTGCGCAAAGGCCGATAAAGAAGCGCTTTCGCCGTCGAATGTGGGAATCGAAATCACGGCTGACTGTAAGCAATTTCGTTGCGTTAATACAGCCATAGAATATGTTAAATTCGCGATTTCATCAGCTGTAAGCGTTCTGCTTATGCCTGATGTTGCAGCGTTTGCTTGAGCCATTTTAGCGGTTGACTAAGTAACTAGTATACAACCGGTAAATAACGCGTAGAAAAACTAATGTCGATACTTATGTCGATTTTTAAGTTAGTTTCTTACTAGCGCGAAAGCTCTCACTAAAATGTCTATGCGATATCGTCAGATGTAAGCGTGTTGCTTGTGACTGACGTCGCTTAAATTGATCGAGTCCTAATAACGCGTAGCAAAACTAAAGTCGATACCTATGTCGATTTTAATATTAGTCTGTTGCTAACGCGGGAGCTCTCTCTAAAAAGTATGGTTAACTAGGCTGATATTTCAGCTTCCGCTAGTATATAACCAAAACCCTGAATTGATATATTAACAGAAAGATCGTAAGGTGTATCCCACCGCTGTCACCAGTTTGTTACGAGCGGGAGCGCGAGATCCTGGATTCGGTCGAGGGGCAGTACTCGACCGGTGGTTTTGGGTATGGTTAGGAAAAGAAAGGAGGTCCGGACGAACCAGGGGCTCTATACCCTGGGAGCCGTAGGTGGAGGTTACGTGGACGAACCAGGGGCTCTATACCCTGGGAGCCACGGGGTTAGATTTATAGGGAAAATGAATGGTTTCACGGACGAACCAGGGGCTCTATACCCTGGGAGCCGCTAGTAGGAGTGGACGAACCAGGGGCTTTATACCCTGGGAGCCACGTAGGGTTTTAGGATGTTTTAGGATCTTGCTCTCTGTCGTGATGGTACACCTCGAGCGGTAAAGGTGTACCGGGTTCGTGAGATACCCCTAGCCTTACGGTTAATATGGTTCAGGGTTGCCTTGAGTGAATAACACACGTAAGGAACAATAACTTGAATATATATTTTTGACGATGCTCAAGTACAGCTATGGGTTTACAAGAAGTTGTACAATTGCTAAATTGCCTCGAAGGCGAAAGATTCGTTATCGGCTTTTAACGCGGCGCGTTCGCGGGAGCTCTACTCGATTAATGGACACTCACTGATAAACCGCTAAGGTAGATAGTCGTAGATAGTTGCTTGAAGGGGATTATAGCCCGATCTTGCCCTGAGTGTCACAGTAACGTCGTGCCAAGAGTTTAGGTAAAACTGAGCTCCCTGAGTAAGAAACCGCGGCCCTTATATAGTTGAAAATGCCCAGTACTAAGGCGGGGCATTACCATAAAAGGCAATGAAAATTGGGCCGGGTGTGCGCATACGGCATGAGTCAACCCCGTTCAAAGGGTTGCTCGCTAGATGCTCGAGCCAACGCCCAAGTCACCAAACGTTTCAGCCCCATGCATGAATGATATGTAACATCTCTATCTATCTTATTTTGTTCTTCTAAAATTACTCTTAACTCATCATTAATACGGCCTGTTTGATTAGTGCCAAAAAGTAATCGCGCGGGAGTATCTCCGGTTGAACGATTTACCGTGTTATTCAAAGCAAATTCAGTATCGGCTAAAACGACATTCCAATTACTTTGAGTTTGGGCCAGTTTCGCTAACATAGGTGTTAACGTTCCATTTACCCACTCGATTTGCCCATTCGCATGAGGCGTAGCCGTTGCTATTAAGATATGTCGAACTCCATATTGCGATAAAAACTCTTTAAACTTTAATGAGGTAAATGCGATGCCCCTATCACTTACAATTTTCTTTGGCACGCTATATACAGTAAAGTAGTTCTTTAAGTGTTTAATTACTTCGTCGGCACACGTAGAGGTTACAGGATAAAACTTGACGAACTTAGTAAATGCATCAATTACCTCGAAGATATATTTTTGACGATGTCTCGTTCGTTCTAAAGGACCGTAATGATCAAGATGAATACAATCAAATGGAAGATTGCCTTTATCTGGACAATGTAAGTTACCTTCGATTCGAGTAGAAGTAGAGTAAGTTATACATTTAATGCAATTCTCAATAAAATTTTGCACCTTTTGTTTCATACGAGGAAACCAATACACGCGACTCAAATATTCGCAAGTCTTACTTATCCCTTGATGGCCAATGTGCTCGTGACTAGCCCGAATAACATTATTTTCCATAGAAAATGGAACGTAAAATAATAATTTGCCTTGCATTTTCCTATAAATCAATCCATTGCTAAGCTCAAAGAACTTATCCTCAGCCTTCTGTAACTTAGTTCTAATTCTAACGATTTCCGGATCTAAGTTTTGTAAAAGCGATAAATTCCTTTCGAAACTATTTTCCGTAACAATCAGTACCGAATAATTCCGACTTAAGGCATCGGCGTGGTGCATACGCTCACTTGACCGGTGTTCTAATGTATAGTCGTAGTTCCGCAATATTAACGACCATCTCAATATCCGAGGATTGACTTCCTTACGTTCTAATGTCAATTTTAAACTGTTACAATCCGTAACTATCTTGAATTTGACGCCTTGCAAATAAATTCTAAATCTTTCAAGAGAATACACAATGGCTAAGGCTTCAAGCTCGAAACTGTGATAACGTGATTCAGCTTGAGATGTTTTGTGCTTCGTACAAAAAAGTCTTTCTGTTTGGGTCATCCGTAATACCGTCAATCACATACTGTATGAGAGCTGCTGTTTCAATTCTACCACGAGAAGCTAGCTCTTTCATTGCTAAAAAATATTCTTGTACGGATTCGTCGCGTTTAATTTTCCGTCTATAAAGTTTCTGATGCAACTCGGCACTGGTTATTCTCTTCGAAAACTCACCCAACAAACGCGATTTAAATTTCTTCCACGTGGTGAGATCCCGTTCACCCCGTATAAATAACTTCGCTAGTCCCGTTAAAGATTTCTTGGCAAATAATAACTTTTGTATTTCTGTCCAACCAAACAATGTAGCATTGTCCTCAAAATCCGACAACCATGTTTCCACTGGGTACTCATCGTGACCCCTGAACGGTCGTATGGTATCTTCTATATCACGAAAACTTAGCGTAAATCTTGGCAGCACTTGCACTTCCGCTCGGCACGCGACTTGTTCCGGCTCTCCGCCTTCGTCTTGATCCGTCTCATCCCCCTCATCCTCTGTTTCATTTCCGTGTACCGCTTCCTCCAATAGTCCCAGATCCGTTAAATGTTTACAAATTCTGTGTGCCACAGTTTGCACATCACCGTTATAGTCCAATCTTAAGATACTGCAAATTGCCGTCAAATCCCCGGCCGTAAATATATTTTCCACCCACGTAACCTTATCTTGAAATTCATTCGAATTCTCCGTAAACTCAAATCCTGTAAATTCTCTGAGACGACTCCTGTTTTTCCGGTCACCTTCGCTCCCGAAGACGAGGTTATGGAAAGCTCTGATCGCCTTTGTCGACGCCGCGGAAATATTTTCGTGCATTCCCGGAATTTGTCGTAAACTACGCATTGTGCCGCGTCAATATTCCAATAAATACCAAATACGAATCACAATCAACTCACGCGCATAACACCATCGCCCTCAACCAGACACACACCATAAAACGAACTTTCTCGAATACTGCGTAATAAAACTGCCCATGCTACTCGAACCATAAAAATCTTTTTCCACTAACTTTTATCCAAATTCACCAGTCCATGCGAATTCACTATCCCACTTCTGAAAGCTGTAGTGTCCGAGTAACCAAGGCATGGTGAGGTTAATAGTTTATTCAGTATATACAGATATTTAGGAACATTACAACTGGTTCGCCTTGTGGCGATACTCTCGTGCCGATCTTCTTTTCGCACTCTCCCTCTCCTACTCGCCGCCGCGTGGCGCCGCGACTACCCAGGATCGTAACTAGCCGATCCACCACACCAGGACCGTGACTAGCCGATCCACCACAGAGTGGAGGTGTACAATGTAGGAGTAAGTGATGGAGACGGCACTTGTATGTTTATTGTGGATTGAGGGCTATTTGATGATTGTGTTGTAAAAGGAAATGTACTACTAGAAATAGGGGATGTGTAATTATGTGTGTATGGGTTAGGGTTAGGGTTATTAAAGGATGGAAAATTATTATATTTTCCCATTTCCGCTTCAAATAATGTGGTATTGATTAAATGTTGAACTATTGCTCTGGATTGTGGAGTCTGTAGTTTCCTAATTTTTATGGCAACTTGTTCGCCATAAAGGTCGTATTCGTCTTTTATCTTCTTATTAGAATACATATGTTTTAATATTTTGTACGCTTCTTTGGCATCACCATCATTTTTCCTCTTCCTCGATGGTATATTTTTCGGCGACACAAATTTTTGACTCTCTGTATTAATGAAATCCGAAGAGTCTTCCTCAACTTCAATTTCATTTTCATCGGAGTCTTCCTCCGAACATTCCAATGCGCTGTTAACCTGCAAATAAGTTAATGTTTGGCAATTAATTTTTTTAGATGCCTCAGAATGAGCAAGAGTGGAATCTTGTAGCAAAAGATTTCAACACCAAATGGAATTTCCCTAATTGTGTAGGAGCAATGGACGGAAAACATATATCCATACAGGCACCACTAAATAGCGGCACAGAATTTTTTAACTACAAAGGATTCTTTAGTATAGTGCTTTTCGCAGTGGTTGACGCCAATTACAATTTTATTTATTGCGATGTGGGATGTCAGGGACGAATTTCTGACGGCGGAGTATTAAAAAATACATCATTTAATTCATTACTGACCGCTTTAAAAATGAAACTGCCTGCCGACTGTGTTCTCCCAGGAAGAACACGAAAAACACCGTTTGTATTCGTAGGAGATGATGCTTTTCCGCTGAACCAAAGTATAATGAAACCATGTCCAGGAGTTCAAGCAAAATATTCAAAAACCCGGATTTTTAATTATCGTTTGAGTAGGGCACGGAGAATTTCGGAAAACGTTTTCGGCATACTGTCATCCGTATTCAGAGTTTTTCGAAAGCCGATGATGTTGCAACCAAATACAGCAACTAAAGTTACATTAGCATCAGTTTATTTACATAATTTTCTTAGAAAAAGTGGATCAAAAAATATTTATAATCCTCCAGGAACATTTGACAGCGAATGTTCCGAGACTGGAAATGTCATTGCCGCTGCTTGGAGGGCAGAATCACAAGGATCAACATTGACAAATTTCACACAAATAGGACGCAAAAGTTCAGCGGAAGCGCAGGAAGTGAGAGAGGAGTTTAAAGAATACTTCTCATCGGCAGAAGGAGCTGTACCGTGGCAGTACGAAAAGTCATAATTTCTCGATATTTGTGCGATAACAATAAAATGATAATGGAATGTCAATATAAAGAATGTATTTTTATTACGTACCTTATTCTCCGTATCAACTGTCCTTCTTGCTTTATTCTTGTCTTTTAAAAATGACAAGCTTTTATAGGCATACCATTTACTTTTAAAAATGTCATCTGCGCCAGTGCCTGACTTCATGCTCTCTTTCTCTTTCTTCACTTCCCTTGCAAAATGACTAAGTAAATTTTTTATTTTTCTTTCTATTTTTTCTTTTGTCATGCCAAAAGACACTGCAATTTCTAGTATCGCATCATGCCGCTTGTTTCTAACCTTGTAATTGTTGTTTTGACAGTCCCATAAGTTAGGGCGTTCACGGTACATTTCTATGAGTTACAGGACATTTTCATTTGTCCAGTCGTTTTCCATTTTCAGAAATGTACTATACAAATATAAAATTAATACAAATATAAATTTACTATACAATTCAATATACAAATTTACTTACTGAAGCACGTTTAAATAATGCACAATGATTGAAGCACACTGTCACTTTTCTAAACGATTAAAGCACACTGCCACTTTTCTAAACGATTTGTCACAAGCTGATTCTTTATACGATGCGTTCGATTTAACGTTTTGACAAACTGTGTTCGATGTTTCCGGGGCCCGTTTCTTCCTCAGCTCGGACACCCACCGATACGCGATTTTGGGGGTGTCAACCTATTTTGGTATTAACTTTTAGCTCGACCGATTGGTCATCGACTTGGGGAAGGAGGACCCATTTTCACACCCCGTTTGGGTGGAAAACTCTTTCCTCATACCTGAACGTGGTGGAGGAAGACTTCCGGGTCACCCCCAGAACGAGGGTGCCCGAGGTTTTCTCCCCAAGTCGAAGGCTACGTTAATTTATCGAAGAAAAAACGGTACTCCGGATTAGGACGCGACGAGTGGCCGCGCGCGTTTAACAGCTGTTTTATGGCTATATTGTTCCGCGAGTTGGCAATGGTCGTTGCCGAACGGCCGACGCACAGTGTGACGAGCAATGAACAAAAATGAAAAAACTGAAGTCTAAAATTCATAGCTTATTATATCTTAAAATACTAATAAAGGAACGTAGATTTTAATACTACCGCCAATTTGGAATGAATTTCCCAATTTGTTGTCAATAATAATGCTTGAAATTTATTCCAGTTTTTGGTGCATTTTTTTAAACACGTGCCACTTGCCAAATGTTTATCTAATTAATTTGAATTTTGTAAATTACGGTCAGTATTATAAGTCCTTTCAAACTGCAGAATGACTTTTTTACAATATTAACAATTTGTCCCAATTTTTTTATGTTAAATGTTTATCAACATTGACTGGATTTTTAAAAAAAGTACCTCAAAGTACCTCTGTGATTTTTTGCACACTAAGTAATTGATGGCATATTACACGTCATATGCAAATCAATTTTAACTGCTCGAAGTTGCTCAAACCGAAGAAAATAATCAAAATCAGCGATATTAAACAATATACAGGGTGGGGCACGAACTAGTCCCCACGATTTTTCAGCCCCTTTCGATGATGTGACAAAAAAATGTTTCGTATCGAAGTTAATCAGTGTCTAACCAACAAGAAATTGCAGTTGCTTAAATTTAAAAACATATTGATTTTCGATAAAAAATTAAGGTTACTATTATATTTTTAAATCCGCTTTTGTATGTTGCCAGATGCGGAGTCGTTACTTTGTCGAAAAAGTCTTCGAATATTCTGCATCTGGCAAATATTGTCGTAAAACCATCGAGTGCTTTAACGAAATGGAAGTGCTAGGCCCGAGTTGACCAACGAAAAGCTATATTGTTCCGTAGGTGGCACGGTCCTCTACAACGACCATCGCCAACTCGTGGAACAATATAGCCATAAAACAGCTGTCAAACACGCGCGGCCACTCGTCGCGTCCTAATCCGGAGTCCCGTTTTTTCTTCGATAAATTAACGTAGCCTTCGACTTGGGGAGAAAACCTCGGGCACCCTCGTTCTGGGGGTGACCTGGAAGTCTTCCTCCACCACGTTCAGGTATGAGGAAAGACTTTTCCTCCCAAACGGGGTGTGAAAATGGGTCCTCCTTCCCTAAGTCGATGACCAATTGGTCGAGCTAAAAGTTAATACCAAATTCGGTTGACACCCCCAAAATCGCGTATCGGAGGAAGAAACGGGCTCCGAAAACATCGACCAATCCGTAAAACCGTTGAATTAAATCGTAGAAAAGCTAATTCGTTCAACCGTTAAAGCAAACGTATCGTAGAAAAGACCGTATCGTAGAATTTTTTAATAACTTTTTAACGAAGCCTCAGTCAAGAAATTGATATTCTTGATTTTTGTTTTCCGACGAGTACCACTATTGTCGAAACCACATAGAATAATTGCTATACAAACTGTATGTATTTATAATTTATAAATCGCTCCACCTTTGCCACGATGTCATAGGTGGGCAATAAAAACAATTAATCTTTTCATTGCCGTTAAGAAACTTGTTACTGTTATTGTTACTTATTACTTGTTAAGATCACCTTAATTTTTTTTGTAAAATTGTATTTTTTTGGTCATAAATCGATGCATCTTTGTATCCTCTTAAAAAAAGTATAGAGGCCTTAAGTCGAAAATTGAATAGTTTAGGAGTTATTAATTTTGTCCCGAACTCCCATATACTCGTCACACTGTGCGACGTTTGGCCTCGAAGACCGTACCACCCGCGGAACAATATAGCCCTTCGCTGGTCAACTCGGGCCTAGCGCTTTCGTTTCGACAAAGCACTAAATTATTTTACAACAAAATTTGCCAGATGCGGAATATTCGAGGACTTTCGCGACGAAGTAACGGTTCCACATCTGGCAACATAAAAAAGCGTAAAAACCTGAGCTAATCAAACGGAACACTGACTTCATCGACTAGTGCAGGGGATGAACAGTTAGTGGGGGTTGCGGAAAATTCCGTCGTTGAACGGAACGAAAGGCTATCGACTATGCAAAAATATGGGCACGAGGAAAAAATCTTTCGCCTATGACCATATTTGGTTACAAGACGGGGCTTTATGGCCTTGCCTGGGCCTTTCAGAACTGGAGGTAGCAATCGTCGCGCTGTGAAATTTTCCGTTCGATCGCGAAAGAATACCAATTTGTTGATGGAGGCTTTGTTAAAAAGTTATTAACGTTTAAAGTTCCTGTATCTTTGTATCTCGATGATGGTTTTGGAACGAAATTGACATGAAACTTTCGTGCTCTCGTGTCTTGGCACGATCTCTTTTGATGGTTACCGACATCGTGGCGATCGACTCGTCGGCATGCCGTTCGGCTTTTCAAGCCATGCTATCCAAGACGATGCAGTGTTTGGCTTTGCCGAGAAGTACTTAGGGTGCCGATCGGCCGTGCTAGATGACAGATGCCGACGCAGTGTAGACGCAATTCTCGGCTTAGACGGAGAAAGAAATAGAGGAAATTAAAAAATTACCCCTTCATTAAATACGATATATCTAAAATGGAAAATGGATCGACATAAACCAAAATCCATTTAAAAAAGGAAGCTTTACCACTTCTAATAGTGGCTCAATTATGAAGAAAATACTAGTAACTTCTGAACTGCACGCATGTAAAGTTTTACTATTTTTAATATGCATGTTAGACTGTTCCAAGACAGTGGAAATTGAAAATCTCTTCTTTCATCTTTGCGATATATTTTTCCATTTACACGAGGTAGGTTTAGTATTAACTACTCTATTGCTTCATCCTTTGTTACTTTATATCGGTTTTCTCCATATTCGTTCCATCGAGTGCTTTTATAAAATCAATAATAAAGAAATAAAGAAATGTAACGAGACTAAAAATTAAAAAATAAATACAAAGTTAAAAGAGAAAGATAAATAGGGTTGATTGAAAGTGAGCATGTACAAAGATGAGAAGTTTCAATCGTCGTTACAATTGAAGTTTTAGACCGTGTAAACTCAATGTGTTTCGAGTAACCGATAATGAAAATAATTGATATTTGTATGAAAAATTATTGTTTTGATTTAAATTTGAAAACTTTTTAGTCAGACCATGCAAGCTCGGCGAATGTAAGAAGTGCTTTGGACGACCTGGCGGACCAACGCGACGCATCGGCGGACGAGGGCCACGATAGTTATTAACGGAGAAATCCATTTTGCGTAACTCGATTCCAACGCCATCATCGGGCCGGGGGCAAAACCGATTTGCTCGTCGACGCGGGGCTCGGTGACGTTTTCGTTCGTATCGAACTCGAGGACGAGGCGATCTTCTTCGCGAGGAGCTGTCGTTCGAAAAAGGGGTGAGATCGAGAGCTGTCGATCAGGTTGCCGCAGAGCGAACCGGACGACCGATGATGAGTTATTACTGTCGTGTAAACCGACCTTAATCTCTACAATGATTTGTGACCGTTCCATCGAGATTGTCGGCTCCAGTCCAACGAGAGATTTCTTGCTTGTCATCGAACATTTGTTGTATCATTCGCTGTTGTTGCGGCTTTCTTCGCTGTCCATCAACGTCGGAAATTGATTTTTTACTTCTCAGGCTACGTGATCTCGCTACAATGAAGAAAAGAAGTAGATTCTTGATTAAATTTATTTTTCTCTAACGTATAAATTGCTGACTAGTTCATTATTTAACGAATAAGACACTATTCGAAAATATTATTGCTCCTTCGTGATGTAAATAAAATATGAAAGGATCAATTATATTCCCATATTTATTATGGATGGATCCTTTCGTATATGTTTAACCGTGGGTGAGGCGTGCTCTTTTGGATATTGTAATTATTTCACGAAGTGTGCCTACTAACAAACTCGAAGGACCATCCTTTGCAAGGACGAAACTAGTTTGGTTTGTAATGTTTATTACAAAATTCAACAAAAGACAAATAATACGTGCCCGAGTGTAAACGAAACGAAGCGTATCTAAAACGTTTTCAAAACGAATCTATTCTAACAATAAGTCAAAACGAATCTGTTTGTTGCTATAGCGAATCTTGTTGCGAGTCAAAAACGAACTTGTTTAAGTTTTAGCGAATCGAATCTGCGAGCGATGTCAATGAATCTGTCCGGCGTGCTCTATCGTTGCTATAACGTGGCTTGTTTACCCTCCTCCACCAAGGGTTTTCGTGGCGGGGGGTGCAACGATGCCAAACGTATCTTGGCGTCCAAGGTGGTGGATGACTCTACACCGCGTGCATCGCACAGTGGCTAACTCATAGATCTAGGCGGACAAAATGAAAATATTAATGTTACGAAAA